AATTGAAACTAGATAACCTTTAAGGTTTCTTCCAACCCAAAACATTCTGTCAATCTATGAAATAACACAGAAGTAAGATGCAACTATCCTTCCATCCAAAACTATTAGAACAAATTCCCATAGACCAGAAGTCTCATGATTTCTTAGTCCCCAGAACAGGCATGGCACACAGCTGTCTCCCACACAGGGCTTTCTCAAGAGGAAAGGTTTAAGCAGGTCTTTTCTCCTATTGTCTTGGCCATGCACCCAGTGGTTTGGCCCACAAAACTGACCAAACTTCTAGTAAATACATAAAGGCACATTCACAAGCCATCTGCACTTTGGTTTCAGGCCTTTCAGCCCAATGGGAGATCAAAGTATATGCAGATGAGTCACATTTACAATAACTAGATGAACCCCATCACGAAGCACTTCTTTTGCCTTGCCAGTTGCAACATGCTCTGCACCCACGAGAGTTAGCATTGCCCTTTAGCTTGCAAGATCTGTGGCCCAGGAACTGGACAAACATGCAATTTCCACAGCCAGACACAGCTTTAACTGCTCTCTTCTCCCTGTCTGAAAAGGGCTGCACCTCCAAAACTCAGCATAAGAGCTTCCTGTCCAAACTGCCCTCAACCATTTCAGGATTGAGTCAGGCAAAAATAGACATAGTTGCAAAAATGCTTTTTGTATTATTCTCTGAACGGAAAGCAGCACTGGGCAATGTGGCAAGTCCAAGTGCAGCAGTTTGGAAAGTGAGGGAGTTTAACGGATGAGTGAATACCTGGGGGGCACCTAATAAGGCTTTCAACAACTCATTCCCAGGATCCAGCCTGAATAGTGTTCAGAGTCACAGCTGGGCTGCAGAAAGAGAACAGGAATAGCTTCCGCACTCACTGATGGATTTACTGCTCCCTGCAGGCATTACAGGAGGCTGACCCCAAATTGCAGCTCCTTCTTGCTGAGTTTTGAGCAGGGGGAACAGCCAAAACTCCTGTGGCCACAGGCCTGAGTATGATAAGCCACTGCTGGGTCAAAGCCCCAGAGTGAGACCTGCCAGCATGGGGGCTTGCAAGTCCTTGAATGCCCAACGCATGCCCTGATCTCTGATAACCCCTCGAGAGTGCATCCTCAGTTGCTCTCACCACTATGGCCAGTCTGGAGAGTGGCAGGTCAATGGGCAAGTGGAAGGCTAATAAATCTGCTTGCGGAAGTCGCACCATGAAGGCTGGATTGCTGGGGCATGGAGCTGCTTCTGGAGCTGCTGACCACTGCTGTCTGTGCACTGGGGAGGACATGCAGATCTCTCTTCCACATTCAGCCAGCAAGGGGGATCACAGACCCTGTCTTGCCTGGGGGCTCATCCTTGGCCTCCTGGTGGGCACAAAGACAGCAGTGTGGGTGTCCAGGGAGGAATCCGGGAGCCAGGCTGAGAGAAGCCCTTTGCAACTGCAGCTGTTTGCACAATGCAGAGCGTGTTCCAGTTGCACTCACATGCTCCCTGGGATATAGCTTCAGAGCAAGGAGTCATCAATGGGGAACCCTCATTTTGCACTCTCAGAGACTGCTTCACACCAAATGCTAGGAGAAAAAGCAGCAAAATGGAATGGTCAGAACAAAATCCTTCAACTCGGACACCTGTCTAATGAGACTTTCCTGTAGGATGGAGACTGAGGACAGGCTTAGACAAACAGGTCTAATGCTAAAAAACCCAGCACGGGCTGTTTGAGGCATCCTGCTTTGCTCCCAGCCTGCAGGGATTTAGGGTTTCAACTGAAAGGCAAACACAGATGGATAGTGGAGCTAAATAACTGTCTAGACCAGAGGAAGTTGCAACCCCCGAAGTGCTCCCAGGTGCTGTTCCTAGCCGGTTCCCATCTCGTACATCAGGCAGGACATGGGGGGCTGCCAAGCTCTGCAAAGAAAATTCTCCTAAGGTGAGAGAGAGGATGAAGGATATACAGCCAAGGTCAAGTGTTGTGCCTGCTGGGTACCTGCCAGTCATAGGGCATCCCAGGGAGGCACAGCCCATGTGCTCCCATTTGCCATATCTGCAGACCTGACGGCCTTGTGGCTTGGTGTCCAGCATGGGCTGGGCCCACTTTGAACCCAAGAAGTGGTCAGGTACAATATAACTTCCATGATATGCAGGCAGTGTTGTGGCATGGGGGGATCTTGCCGTATGCAATACAGGCAAAGCCCCAGGGTCAGTGGGATGTAAACAGGAATTACCAGCTGCAGGCTTCAACAGCCCTGGCCCCAACTTTTCCCCACACAGCAAACAGGATGCCGAGAGATCCTGCTTCTGCTGAGGATCCTGCTCCTGCAGCTGTGAAGGGAAGGGAGTCACAGTAACCTCCTTGAAAAGATGCATCCCCACCCCCTGCAAGTCTCAGTACTGTGATCTCAGCTGGCAGTGTAGGGGCAGAGCTACCTTTGCACTGGGAAGCTCTTCTCTCAAGAGTCACATTTTGAAGGCTCAGCTGGATGTGGAAGTCTAATCAGATTATGGATCAACTAGGAAGCTTTGGAGAGTGTTGTGTGCATGTGTTCTGCAGCTTGGCCATTTCTGGCATCAGGCAAACTCCTCAGTTGGTCTGATAATGGTGTACCCTAAAAGCCACGAGTCCTATCCACACTGATCCTACGCTGAGCCACTGTCACCTAAGAGACAATAGTACATGTCCAGTCTGGGGTGCTGTCACAACCAACAGCTGGAAGCAGACAGCTAGGGAGGCAGGGAACAGGCTGAACATAGCAATATTGCCCTGAATGCATTTCCAGCCTTTAATGATGCAGGCTGTTCCTAGTGTATCTGAGGCTACACTAAATAGCCCATCATGGATTTAAAAAAAAAAATTTTCCCTTTGTATCAGTCTCAAGTCCTGACCATCCTGCCCTGGATCTTTTCCAGTTCCAATTAACTCAAGGCCTTCTGCTACTCCTCCAATTTACAAAGGAGTGCTGAAAAATAATAATATTAAAATACAAGCCAACTTGACCAGGCCCGGATAAAGTTTCCATCATGTTCTTAAAGAGCTGTCTATAACAATGTAGGAAAAACTAAGTCATGGCCTTGGAGAAGTAGGAAACACCAAGTAAGGTGGCTTTTTCCCACTCAGCAGCTACGGCAATGTGGGAAGGAAGGCAGTTTCAGCCAGACCATTTTATCTCTGAGACCAGATGGCTTTAAATGCTTCCCTAGAGCTTGGAAAGGGCCAGGCACTGCTTTGAATTGCTTTTCATACCACCTCATTAGTAAGTAAAATGAAAGAAATGAACAATCTATAACTTTGAGGCAACGGGAAACAGCTCTGTTAATCCCATTTCCTTCCCCAAGCTTACTCAGGGCAGGTCATCCAGCATCAGGGCCACATCACCTAATTTGCTTATCATTGCCCCACAGTCAGGAGTGTGGGCACCAGCTCAAAGGGCAGACGCATCCTCCTGGGCATTATTAATAAATTGGAAAGGTCCAGGTTGTTAAACCTGCCCCGGTGCATAATTGCAACACTCCTGGCCCTCAGCTTCTACTTGCTGCTGCAGATCCAAGGAATGGCCTCCTGAGCTCAGGAGGAGCCAAACAGCACTGACAGGTCCTCATCCATGGCACCCAGGCTCACCATGCCACCCAGTTCCCTACCAGCCCTTTCCCTCTGCCTCCCTCTCCCACGGGAGCACTACATCTTCTCACAGAGAACCTCCACTTTGTGTCTGGCTGGAAAGGTGTCCAAATGCACTCTCTCTCCTGAGAGAGTCAGGACTAGAAGGTTTCAGGCTTTTAGCGCTTGTTCCTGGGTCCCACAGCAGAAGGCAGCTTTGGGCAACACATCAGGCAGACAGCATTTGGTCTGTTGGTTGGACCCGCAGCTCCAAGGGTAATAATGAGTGTCTTGGCACAGAGTCAGTGGCTGGAGTGGGGTAAAAGTTAAAAAAGTTAAAGGAACAGGAAAGGAATCAGCAACCCCTAGCTTAGTTTCTCAGATGAGGAGTGCCACATTTTAGCAAACTGCTAGCTGCATACAACAAAACTAGGTGTCCCTGTTCTGGAGCTATGCACAGCTGGCTGTCAGCATTGCTGCCCTGCAGACATGGCTGGGGACATGAGCATCTGGCTGAGTCCAACCCACCCCTGCCTTCCAGCTGGACTGAGATCCAGTGATAAGCAGCTCCACAATACATCCCTGAAATCTGTCACCCATAGAGCTGAAGGGCTTCAGGGCACTTGGGAAATAGCTGTTGAACGGGAGAGTGGGGAAGTGATCCCGGAGCAGCTGGTCTAGCAGAGACCCACCCAGCCCTGCAGACGGCCAAGGCCACGGAACCAGCAGTGCAAAGATGCCGAGGAGCATAGACGCAGCCAGCCCTGCAGCTCAGCGGGCATTGCTCATCCCAAATTGATCCACAGAGGATGCTGCCCTCTTCTGGGCCTAGCGTAACTGGCAGAGATTCAGCGAAACTTGGAAAGGCCCGAGTGCTTTTTGGGGCTCAAATCCCCACATAGCGTTTCTCAAATGTGGTGACTTTCCATACCTCTCTCAGTGAACATCCCAGGGACTTTTTCCGCCGAGAATCAGGCTGCTGGGTCTGCGGGTGACCTCTGAGCGCAGCCTGGAAAGGGAGAAGCACGGCCAGGCTCAGGAGCCGTCCCTGAGAGACAGGGAGATGGGTACTTCTCCTGGGCCAGCTGCCAACTGTGAGATCTGCTAGCATTTAATCGTAATTATTATTTTCATTAATTAATTAATTTGATAGCAAAATAAGCTCGCATTCAATTAATGAACTTGTAATAGGGTCCTGTGTCGCCCCATCAGCCCGGGGACGGCCGACCGCCCGCCGCGTCCCCGCCCCGCCACCTGCGGGGGGACACAGGGGCCGGAGCTGGGGTGGTCCCTGCGGCTTCCCGTGTCCCTGGAACGCACTGCCCCCCCGGCAGGTGCCGACCAGCCCTGCCCGGGCCGGGCCCCGCCTGCCGGCCCCGCCTCCTGCCGGCCCCTCCCCACGGCCCGGGCAGGGCCGGGGCGGCTCCGCGGGCCGTGCCCGCCGTGCGGAGCTGCGGGAACACTTCCCGCTGCGGGATCCCCCTCTTGCCTGCCCCGAGCGGCCCTGCGGCACCGGTGGCACAGTGAGCCCCGGAGCTGCCGCGGACCTCGGGCAAGCAGGAGCCCGCGTCGCCCACCTCCTCAGCATGAGGACGCCGACGGCGATGATCGTGGGACTGGTGCTGTGCCCCTGCGGGCTCCTGCTGACGCTCACGGGCACGCTGGCACCCAGCTGGAGGAAGGTGAGCCTCGTACCTAACCAGCCCATGGACCTCGTCTGGGAGCAGGGCATCTGGGACATATGCCGGGAGCGGCAGAGCACCCATGACCGCCTCTGCGGGCAGGCTGACGAGCTGGGCTACTTTGAGGAGGTACCCGTGCGGGTGGCCCAAGGGCTGATGCCCTCCTCGCTGGTGATCACGCTCCTGGGCTTGGTGGTGGCTGCCCTGGGGGTTCGCTGCTGGCAGGAGGAGCCACGGCACCTGCTGGCTGGAGTGGCAGGGCTGGTGCTGCTTCTCTCAGGGCTGATGAGCCTCGTGCCCACCTCCTGGTACACCCACGAGCTGTGGGCACTGCCCGCAGTGCCTGGCAGCACACTGACTGTAGGCTACAGCTTGGTGCTGAGCTACTTGGGAAGCTGTCTGGAGATCTTGGGGGGACTGGCCCTTGCCCTCAGCTTCCACCACTGCTGTAAGGAGCGCAGGGCCCCCAAACTGTCCCCCAGCCCTGTGCTGGAGCCTGGGCTGTGTTCCACCATTGGGGCTTACAGCAATCCCTGGGACGTGCTGAAGGATGAGCGAGATGGACAGCACTGGAGGAACACTCCACCTTGTGACTCGGACTTGTAGCCCCAGCACCAGGACAGCAGCCACCTGCCTGGCACTGAGAGCAGTGCTGGCTCCTGACCTACAAGCCATGCCCTTCTCCTGGGGCACCTCAAAGCAGCCTGAAAACAAGATCAAGGACCTGGCTTGAATCTCTGCAACTTCCTCAAAAGCCTGCTGTGCTCCAGGTCCTACAACTGTGCCAAATCCACACTGGGTTGAGGGCTATACATAGCTCTAGTCCGTCCATGCAGCTTTTAACTCATCCTCCTGCACCATGCACAGCAGCTTGGTCAGAGGCAGCTTCACTGTTCCCATGTGAGCAAGGTATAGACTAGCACCGTGTAACCTTCAGGACTGAGAACAGGGGAGGGGTGCACCTCCCACATGTCTCTGCCCAACTCAGGACTGTGCAAACAGCAAAATAAGTGCAAAGGAATGGGTCTGTACTGTGGGATGGTTACGGGCTTTCTGCCAGGCAGGCCTGGCTGAGAGCCAGTGGGCATGGCTAACCCAGCCTCCCTGTGCTTTGCAGGGAGGAAAAGTCTGTAAAAGTTATATGGCACCTTCCTAAAGGACTTTTCCCCCATGGACAAAATCAGCTCTGGTAGAGGTTTCTCCTTCCTTGAGCACAGCCACTTCAGGGGGAAAAAAAAACAACAACGAGGGAATACAGAGTAAAAAATAGCATATTCAACATTAGCCTGGTATGATGTGGTAAAACTGGTCTCACTGGTTTGTAAGGGACAGTCAGGAGGTCAGAACTGGACTATAAAATCCTGCTCAACATCTTGCATAACATGATAAGAGCCAAGCCAGCTTCCTTGCAGAGCTATTTGGCCAGATTTCCACCCCTGGCAAGCCCAAAGCACCACGGTCAGCAAGCTAAGCCTTGCCGCAGAGGGACAGTGGCTCATGATGCTCTTAGTGTGGTTATGGGATAGTACAGGATGCATCCTGCAACAGGGGATCAGATTCAGGTGGCTCAGATCACCATTCAGGTGGTGGTGTTGAGATTGGAGACTTCCTGATAAACCTCCTAAACCTTTTTCCTTTGGACTCTTATGTTCCCTAGAGCTTAGACATCGGGAAAGAGCAAACCAACCTTCCCTCCCCAGCCCACACACAAACCACAGTGGCATGAGAGATGCTGCACAACATTCCTTTATGAAAATACAGTGTTGGGGTGAGATGGTCCCTTCCTCGGCAGGGCTGGCAGCTCCTGCAGAGATCACAGATGGGTGCGTGAGGGGTGAGTCTGAGCCAGCTTCTCTGAGCCCACCCCACGCTTTAGCACAGGGGCTCCAGCCACAGACGGAGCTGGACAGCCCTTTCAGACACCAGGCACCCCAGGTCTTGCCCGTCTCTTCCAGCAGGAGGGCAGAGCTTGCCTCAGGAGTGGGCACCATGCCAGCACTGGGCCTTGGGGCACCCCAGGGTGGCAGGGGTGACCCTACCAGGGCCTGCTCCTGTTGCTACTCACCTCTTTCCCATCGTAAGCTTCATTCACAAATGTATCACTCTTGGGGGGAAGCTCTTCCTCCTCCTCCTCATCCTCTTCCTCGGGGTCACTTTCACGGTGGTACAAGGTCAGCACCCGGGTAGAAGCAGTGCTTGAGGTCCTGGGGAGGAAAAAACATACACTAAGAATGGCATGGCCATCTCCTAGAGATGGGGCAGATCCTAAGGTCCAGCCACAAGCCCTGGTAATAGCCTGCTGGGGTGATCGAGCTTTCTGTATAACCCAGGGGTGCATTAGGACACCACACTGTCCCTGGGCAAGGAGATCCAGTCCCTCTCTATCCCCAGTTATACCTGGCCCAGCCCAACCCCAGAGTTCACCTCCTCCGCCTGTCCTGCCTCCGCATGTAGGCCAGGGCCCCCACAGCAGCAGCAGCGAGCAGGAGGAGAACAGCCACGCCCAGGGCGATGGGTCCTGCAAGGGGCTGCACCTCTGCTTCCTGGCAGTAGTCGCCACGATAGCCCAGGGCACAGTGGCACGTCACTCGCCCGGCCTCGATGGCACAGTCCCCGCGCAGGTTGCACGTCTCGCTGCTGCACGGCACAGCCCTCAGCACCTCCTCCGTGCTGGGAGGTACCAGGAAGGGCTCTCCGTGCTCCCGGGGGCCAGGGGCTGCTGGTGGGCTGGGGCTGGACTGCCGAGGCTGCAGTGCAGTTGAGGGTGGGGCTGGTTTCTGTTCTTCCACGTGGGACATTCCTGATGGTGACACTGCGGGGACTTGCGTCCCCACCTGCCCGGAGTGGCCTGGTGGGAGAAGCATAGATCAGCAAGAGACCCAGGTAAGTCTTCTTCCTAAAGTGGGGGAGACTGGCCAGGCTACCCTGTGCCCTGCCAGGACTGCTGCACGCCCTGGCTGTGGGCAGGCACTCACAGTCAGACTCATCGGAGCCGTCAGCGCAGTCAGAGCGCCCGTCACAGACCTGTTCTCCAGAGATGCAGCTCTGGAGGTCAGGGCAGGGCTGGAGCGCGGCAGGGCAGGACAGTGCTGGTGCACATGCTGCTCCACGCACGAGGTGGTAACCACGAGAGCAGCGGCACTGCCGCCCTGCAGGGTTGGGCAGGCAGAGCTGGGCACAGCCCCCGTTGCTCTTTGCACAGGCATTGGTGCCTGCCAAAACAGCATGAGTTAGCATGGACACCACTGAGCACGGCTCAACCCCACAGATGCCCCGGGCTGGGACAGTTGCAGACCCACCTTCCTGTGAGAACTGGCTGTAAATCCTCATGGCTACCAAATCCTTCTCCATTGGGAACCACCACCTCTCGGCCCGCTCCAGCCGGCTGTGCCAGATCTTGCTGGATCCTGGAGACACATTGGGTCAGCACTGCTCCACCTCCTCCCATAAGAGTGCCCAGGATGGGAAGTGGGGGTCCCCTAACCTGTCCTTCACCCCACGGAGGGGCAGCCTGCACCCCACAGAGACTGGCAGAAACCCCTGTGCCCCAGTGTGGTAGGAGGAGCTGGACAAAGTACAGCAAACGGACCCACCGTTGGTTGAGGTCGTGCTCCAGAGCAGAAAGCCTTCTCCTATGGCAAACAGTGAGAGACCATGCAGCCCTTCCCGCACCACCCGAAAGTGGGATCCATCCAGCTCAACGCTGCTGATGGTACCTCTCTCTGCAGGACACAGATGGAGCAACATCAGTGTGGAGACATGGAGGGCTGTGTGGGGCTGTGCCTTGGGGATCAAGTGCCTGCACCACTGCTACCCCCAGCAGTGCCCCAGCTCAGCCCACACTCACCGTGGTCTGCCCAGTACAACCTGGTGCCAGCAGCCCCAAAGGTGAGGCCAGTGGGAGCCCGGGCTCTCCTCCAAACTGGTCTGCGGCCAGTGCCATCCATGGCTGCACACTCCACTGTGGCACCGGGCCCATGGCTGCCAGCTGCTGTGACAAAGCACATGGTGGAGGCACGAGGGCACAGTGCCAGCCAGGCAGCGCCCTGCAGCCCCTCACTGAGTAGTGCCAGGGCCCACCGCCCCCCAGGAGCTGCCACATGGATGCTGGGCGGCTGCCCCCTGATCCAGTACAGGTTCCCACTCAGCCAGTCCAAGGCCAGGGATGTCACTGTGCCCTCCACAGCCACTGCCTTCTTCCAGGACAGCCGTCTCCAGTCCTTCAGGCGCAGCAGTCCGATGGAGTTGCCTCCCACCTCTGCAAAGTACAAACTCTTGTCTTTCACTGCATAGTCGATGGCTGTCAGGTGGCCCACCTTGGCCAAGGGCAGGGCCCGGTGCAGGGGAAGATCTTGGGATCCAGATGTTGCGGGCAGGTCCTTCAGGTAGACCTGGAGGAAGGAGGCAGCACTAAGATGGGGACCTTTCTCCCCTGACAGCAGCTAGGATAGCAGCCCCTAGGGCTGGCTCTGGAGGATGGTACCTGTGCCACAGCTGCTGGTGACACCAGGAGAGCAAAGGCTGAATCACGGAGGGGCAGGCAGGTGGTCTCATCGGCAGCCAGCACCAGCCTGGCAGGGCACCGGCACTGCCCAGTGTGCCTGGCACTCAGCAGGCACAGGTGGGAGCAGCCACGTGTCTCACAGGGGTTAGGGGCTGTGGGGCGCAGGGCTGGGTGCATCACCTGTGGGAAGGGCAGGCTCAGCTCACAGTCCTGTCAGCACCCACCGGCAGAGCTGAGCATGATTGACACCGTGCCCTGCTCCCAAGGCCCACACACGGCCCAGCTCTGGGCAGGATGGTGAGGCAGAGATGTTCCAAGAGGACCAGAAACATTTGGCTACAGGGGCTGCTGCCCAAGGACCACCAGGATGGGGGTACAGCTCCCACTGCCTCCACACTTAGAGGACGACAGGACCATGCAGGTTGAGAGACCCAGCAGAGCTGGCACAGCAGGGTTTGGGGCTCCCCAAGTAGGTACCTGGAGGCCATGGGGCTGCCCGTGCTGCTTGAGCAGTGTGGTTCTGTTCTTGCCACTGGCCTTGTCCACCTGCTGCACAGACCACGTCTTCCTCTCCGACCAGTAGATCTGGCCCTCGCACACGGCTGCCGCGAAGGGGCTCCTGACCCAGCTCAGCTTCAGGACCTGTCAGAGAGGCTGTAAGTGCCCACCCCAGTCCCCATCAGGGCCCCGTCAGCAATGCCCCACCACAAACCTTCACACTGGTGCCATCCAGACGTGCAGAACTGACACTGCCCAGCTTCTCATCCAGCCAGAAGATCCTCTGGGTGGGGAGATCGAGGGCTAGTGCTGTGGGCCAGCCCAGCCCCTGGGCCAGCAGCACGTGCCGCCGACTCCCATCCATCGTGGACTCCATCAGCCGTGGGTGGCTCCCCACCTCTGACCAGTACAGCAGCCTAGTGGGAAGAGAGGTGCTGGCCCATGGACCACACACAGCATCGTCCCAGTACATGGAGGAAAATGGGGCAGGGGAGGGATGGTAAGGAGGTCCCCATGTCCCCTTGTGGCAGACTTACCCTGCCAGAGGCTGGAGTACCAGAGAATGGGGCTGGTCCAGGTCTCCATCCATCACCACAGTGTACTCTGGTATCCCTTGCCAGGCAGCGCCCAAGCGAGTGGCCAGCACCTGTCCTGCTGCACCATCTGTCCAGTACAGGTTCCTTCCAAGCCAGTCCACTGCTATACAGTCTGATCTCACACCTGCAACACATCCAAGAGTCAGCACCTGTGGGGTGACAGCTGCATGGCCCTCTGTGTGCCAGCCCACATCCTCTCCATCCCAAGCTCTCTGGCTCCTCCCAGCCTTGCTCCCAACTAGCACCTCTCCACACAAGGTGACACAGCCTGGCACGCCACTGCAACCTGGAGATTGCCCAGTGACAAAGAGGCCAGCTCTGCTACCCCCATGCTGTCACAGCCTACCTTTCACCAGTGTGCCTTTCTTGCCCGAGTTGAGGTCCTGCCAGCGGATGCTCTCTGTGGCCAGGTCCATCCAGAAGACTTTCCTCTCCACCAAGTCATAGTCAAGAGAGAAGACGACGCGATCCTTGTCAGTGGCCAGCAGCACCTCCTTACGCCCACTCCGCAGGCCATAGGACAACACCTCTGACTGCACAGCCACCAGCAACACAGGCTCTGGTCCTGGGGCAACACAGAGCCCCCCGGACCCTGCTCAGCACTGGTGGCCCCATGGGCTCAACACATGCAGGCAGGGAATAAAGCACTTGCAGGCACTGGAGCCTGCTGGGACTCAGCCCTACCAGATAGGATGTTCTCAGATAGTGCAGATGGATTTTCTGACCAGCTGTGGGCTGGCAATCATCAGCTCACAGCTGAGTGGGGCCTGGCAGGCAATGTGGCAGAGGAGACAGGGCCATTCATGGGACCACAGGCCTCCTTGGGGCAGCAGGCACAGGGGGACAGGTACCCACCAGCTCCTGGTGTACCCTAGGGGGCCAGGGCTCCTCAGCACTGCTTGGCCATCCCATGACTTACCAGTGAGTTTGCAGACATGGCCATCGGGCTCCAGCAGGTAGCCAGGGAGACAGCCGCAGCTGTAGGACCCTGGGGCATTGAGGCATGTTTGGCTGCAGGCTCCCTCGCCCCACTCCGTGCACTCATCTATGTCCATGCAGAACAGACTATCCTTGGCAAGCCGATAGCCTGGGCCACACCAGCACCGCTGTGGGGAAAAGGACCATCAGCTTCCCACCCTGGGGACATGAGGCTCCCTCCTGCAGCTGGACCAGGGCATCATAGCATGGCAAGCCCCTGGCCCAGGGCTGGTGGCACTCACAGGGCCCTGGGGCGAGGGGTAGCAGAGATGAGCGCAGGACTGTTTGCAGGGCACAGAGCAGTTCCCCCCCTCGTCTGAGCCATCCGCGCAGTCCTGCTGGCCGTCACACACCAAGGATGCATTCAGGCAGGCCCCCAGCCCACAGGGGTACTCATGACTCTGGCAGGGAGCAGGCTGGCCTGCAGGGACATGTGGGGAAGGCTGCCCTAAGCCTCATCCACCAGCTCCTTTTGCTCATCTGGGACAGATTTAGCTGCTCCTAAAGGCTGCCCAGAGCTCATTGCAGCTACATCCAGAGCTGTGCCAGTAGCCTGGCTTCAGGCTATATTAATCCAAAGGCCACCAGCCATACATGGACAACAGCTACCTGAGGCCTGGAGCCACCACAGATGCTGGGAATAGGCAACCAGCACATAGGGCCTTTTACCTCAGCACAGACACATACCCATCTTCCTCTGTGCTGGGCACCCACCAGCTACCCCGGGTGATACACAGAGGGGATAAAATCAGGGTGTAGCTCACAGCCAGCTTCATCGCTGCCATCTGTGCAGTCAGTCTCTCCATCACAGTGCCAGACATCAGGGATGCACTCACGGCCATGGGAGCAGCCCCACTGCTGGTCCCCACACAGCCCTTCCTCCCAAGGACAGTCCTGCAAAGGCAGAGGGTAAAGAGGGTTACCAGTTCTCCTGGGCATGAGCAAGGACAAGCGCTGTCCGTGCTACCCCACTCACCTGCTCGTCTGTGCCATCCCCACAGTCGGCAGTGCCATCGCAGCGCCAGGCCTCCGGCACACACTCCCCACTGTGGGAACACGTCACCTCACCCGCACGGCAGAGCAGTGGCCGGGGCACGGCACAGCCCTCCTCGTCTGAGCCATCCTGGCAGTCGTGGTCACCATCGCAGTGCAGGGCCAGGGCCACGCACTGCCCATTCCGGCAGGGGAACTCAGCCGGGCCACACTCCTTCGGCACTGTGGGCAAGGCCAGGGCTGAGCAGGTGCACTGTACCCATTCCCATCCCACCAATGGAGACATGGCACTGAGCAGGGTACGGCCTCTCCAGCTGCTCAGCAGGTTGCCCCAAGCAGTGCCTGCTCCTGGACCCACAGGAAAACTGGTGCATGCACCGGTAGGGCAGGCAACCCCAGAAGCCCCTGTCCCATCCAGCCCCAGGGTCTCACCACAGCCCTGCTCATCAGTGTGATCCAGGCAGTCAGCATGGCCATCACACAGCCAGCTCTTGGGGATGCAGCGGGTGGCGGCGTCACAGCGCAGGGCACACTCCTGCGTGGGGGTCCAGCAGCCTGTCTCATCCGAGGCATCAGGGCACTGGGGCACCCCATCGCAGCGCTCTCCCGCCCCGACGCACATGGCTCCGCTTGCACAGTGGAAGGCCCCTGGGGAGACAAGGGGCCTTGCACTGCCTGCAGAAGGCAGCTGGGGTGTCCAGACACTGTGTTAGTCCCCCAGCGACCCAGAAAGGCCACACACTACGGTGGCCCCTCCTAGCCAGTGCATCTCCATCAGCCTAGGTCCTGAGCAAGGTGACTGAGGCAGTCTCAGCTCAGCACATCTAGGTCACTGTGAGCAGTGGGACCAGCCCTGTTGTCTCCTGACAGTATCTCCAGTCCAGTGCCAAGCTCAGAAGGTACCAGTATGCCACATGACAAGCATCAGAGCCCAGGACACACTCAGATTTTCCCAGGGCCCCATCCCACCAATCCCATCAGGAAGCAGCCAGAAGTCCTGGCACAGGGTGACCCAACTGCACAGAGACTCGACTGAAGAATGGCTCCTACCTGGGGTGTTGCAGAGCTGGGCACACCCATCCTCATCAGAGCCATCTGCACAGTCTTTCTCCCCATCACAAAGGTACTCCTGAGCCACACACTCAGTGCCATCACGGCAGGACACGTGTGTGCGAGGACAGGACAGATGAAGGACTGGGGTCAGGGGGTGAGCAGGGCTGGATGGGAGTGGTGGGGTAGGTGGCACTACCCGTGCAGGACTGGTTGGGTGCTCTGTGGTAGTAGTTGGCCGTGGGACAATGCCTTTAGTTGGCAAAGCTCGAGTGGTGGTGGTGGTGCTGGTGGTTGTTGGCTGCACGGTGGTGGTCTTGGTTGGTGTGGCAGTGGTTGGCAGAGGGGTGGTTTTCATTGATGTGGACTGGCTGGTGGTGGTTGGTGTGGACTGGCTGCTGGTGGTGGCCTTGCTGGTTGGTGCAGGAGTAGTGGTGAGCACAGTGGTGGTTTTGCTTGGTGTAGATCTTGTGGTGGATGTGGTGGGACGAGCAGCAGCGGTGCTTGTGGTTGTCCTCATAGTGGTGGTCACAGGTGGAGGGAGTGGCAGGGCAGACCCCTTGCTTGGTGGCACTGGCAGAGGATTTGGGATTTGGGGCTGTGCCGTCCCCACACCCTGGGCACTTTCCAGAGCACCCCACATGGATACCAGCAGCCAGGCACCCTGCCCCATTTCAGAGCAGTGTGGGCCACCCAGCCCCACCAGATACAGCCCCTGTGCCAGGCACAGAGCCATGGCTGCCCTTACCGGCCTGCAGCTCCGAGTCCACGAAGGCCACTACACCCTGCACGCCTGCTGCCGGCATGGACAGCACAAGGGTCAGTGTTCTCCGGTCCCATAGTAGCAGAGCCGTCCCATTTGCCGACACCAGGTATGGCTCAAAGGCGGCCACAAGGCCATGGGGCCAGCTGGGTGCCAGGGTGACTGCTTGCCGCTTGGTCAGACTCAGCACCCGCAGGCCTGTGAGGCAGAGGGATTGTAGGACCAGGGGCCCACAGGCACCCCTCATGGCCCACCCTGTGCCCCCATAACCCACAGCTATCACAGGGACCTTATGGCTGAGGCCAGGGGCTCGGCCATGGGAAAGAGTCTGCCCCATGAGCATCCTACTGCCCAGGCAGGGACCTGCTGCATGTAGGGCATAGCTGATCACTCCTGCCTACATCCACCACCTCCGCTCTCTGCTCCAGATACCACCAGGGCTCACCCAGGCTGGAGCTCCAGAGCACGCTGAAGGCTCTGCTATCCATGGCTGCAGGCAGGTCTCCAGGCCACGTCTCGTTCCAGGCATCCCACGGAGCACCCCCAGCCAGGCTCAGCTGCTGCAGGGGCTGCCCACGGGCTAGCCAGTATAGAGCACCCCGCTGCCAGTCCAAGAAGAGGTGCTGGATACTGCTGCGAGCACGGTGCAGGATGCGCGGGAACGTGTCAGATGTCCGGATCACCCCGATGTCCCTCTGGTTACATGCGAGCCAGTACAGGTCCCCCGAGCGGATGTCCACACGGGCAGAGCAGACTTGGCAAGAGCAGGCAGGCAAGCAGTTACAGGGCTGTCCCATGACCCTGCTTCTCTGCCTGGGACCACCAGCCCGTAAACCCAGGGCACAGCTGCCTACTGCCTCAGCACAGCCCCACTGTGGGCACCACCAGACTGCTGTGCTCTGCATCCCGGACATACTCAGGCCTCAGGGAGCATCAAGAAGGGGAGTATGCCCTCCATCACCCCATAGGGACTCACCTGGCCTCCCAGTTGCAATGGCCTCTCTCCTGCCAGGGTGCCCCACAACACTCAGCAGCGTCCCACGGTCATCTGTTCCATAAAGCACTGACCTCTGCCAGTCCACATCTTGCAGGTGGAAGGGCTCCTGCCACTCCTGTACCCATTTGCTGTGTGCTCCAGGACCCACATGCACCAGGGAGATGGCTTTTCCTGATGCATACATGATGGACAGCTCTGCAGGGTACAAGGGCAGCGTGTGAGCATAGCCCCAGCAGTACTGGACAGGGCCACCAGCATGAACCAAGGCAGAAATGTAACAGCAATGGTGTATGCTGGGCCTACCCCACCAAAGCCACAGCCCCTTACGGCCTTCCCCCAACTCCCACAGGGATGTATACCTCCCCAGACAGCCAACCCACCTCATAGACCCTGCTCACCTGTGCACTTTCCCGAGGGCAAGAGGAAGAGGCCCTCTGGACA